ACCAATGCGGGGTGGTAGCAGCACCCGTCCACAGAGGGTCTATGCTTCCAACAGACAAAGGCTGCTGCCTCTGAGCAGCCTCTATATGCAGCAGGCCCAAGCTCACCACAGACAGAGGCTGCTCCATGGGATGTGGAGCAGCCTCTGCAGGGAGTTCGGACCCCCTGTGGACAGGGGCTGCTGCCGCGGCAACCTCTCAGCCCCTAAGGTGCTGCTTCTTGAAAGTCAGCTCCCTATACATATTGGTTCCAGCCTGCCCCTCTCACCCTCCGCACTGCTGCCCCTCTTATCAGCCAGCTACCCACAGGCACCAGCTCCTGCTCTCCCACCCACTTGCTGCCTCTGATACTGAGAAAGTGGTGGCGGGGGGGATACATTTAGATAAGATTAGCCAGTAAGCCCAGGCTTCTGGATTAATCATGTAGTTGTCAACACGGTGACATCTGTAATACAAACCTGCACCTGCATTTGATTCCTCTTCTGTTTTACAATGAAAGGATCAGTCTCAATGTTTAATACAAGTGCTCATCTCTGGGCAAAATATATTTACCTAAAATCCATGTAGTAAATCCATTATCAGCAAACCTACAGTAAATGTGTAGGTGCGTAGAAATCTTCTGTCCCTCCCTCCAGGTACATCATTCAGAGGCTCCTACCTTATGCTTTTGTTCTAGGGTCCTACTCCCCAGGCCTTTCCCCTGTGAGTATCCAGTCTCATGGCTCATCTATTCAGACACAGTCCAACAGCTCATTTCCCTCACCAGCCTTGTGGTATTGACTCTGGTTCACAAAGATCTGCAGGCTAGGCCCTCTTCAGGCTACTAGCCCTTAGCCCTTCTCAGCTTCCCTATGAGTCTCTTGGCTAAGCCCAAGCTAGGGATGTGAACGTGTAGTTGACTATAGGATAGTCAACACACTAGTTGACTAGTCGTTCTCCCCCGTTTGTTTGTTCTTGCGGGGAGAAAAAGGGGTGCTTCAAAGTGGCAGCACCGCTTGCAGCCCAAGGCCAGCTGGAGAGTCCTTAGGCTGCATGTGGCATTTCAAAGCGGTAGCGCTGCATAGAGCCTGGAGCCAGAGGGGAAATCCCCAGCTAACCCCGGCCTCCATGTGGTGCTGCCGTTTTGAAATGCTGCAGGGGGCATGGGGCCAGTGAGGAACTGCCCACTGGCCCTATGCTCCCTGCAGCACTTTCATGGAGGCGCTCTTACCTACTAATCAAATACTTGATGAAAATTGCAGTGACTATTCAATTAGTCAATCAAAATTTAACTCCCTAGTCCAGGCTCCAGGGAGGGCTTGCAAAGCTTTCTGCACTTAGCAGATTCTCTCTGAGTGGGCTCTCACCAGTTTTTCTTTCTCCTCCAGTCTGTAGTTTCAGGCAGCCTGGTCTAATCAGACCTCTTCAGATTTTCCCTCATTTTTTTTTTATAGCCCCCATGTGTTCCATCAGCGCCTCAGTTGGCAAGCTGGAAGCATATGCTTATAGATTGTAAGGCCAAAAGAGACCATTGTGATCTGGTCTGACTTTCTATATTGCACAGGCCATAGACTCCCCCAAAATAATTTCTTGGGCATCTTTTTTAGAAAAACATCCAGTCTTGATTTAAAAGTGGTCACTGATGGAGAATCCACTGTGGCCCTTGGTAAATTGTTCCTAAATTTAATTACGCTTACCATTAAAAATTCATGCCTTCTTTCGAGTCTGAATTTGACTAACTTTAACTTTCAGTGGCAGTGAACTAGACATGCTGGATGCTTCCCAGGATCAGCCATCTTGTGACACCATTATGCTGCTGTTTTTAGCACAACTCTCTTCATTGGGATGGCAAAGCTCAACTAGCTATCATGTACTTGGGGTTTATGTCCTTGTTTGGAATGCAGGTAACACAGGGGTTTATGGAAAGCGCCACCAAATGTGCAAGGAAGGAGCTGCCATCTGTGGAAACAGAGTTGGAAAGGAGAGGATGTTAAACTTCTGTCCTCATGTGAGATTACATTCACTTGTCTTAGAATAATGCAAATGCCCATGTGAATGTAGAAGGCTCTTCATCCAACCCCATACATGTAGTTCCACCCTAATTAGTATTTTTTTTAAACCCAGTGTTTTCTGCCTTCACCAAAACCTGTATTCGTGCTTGTTTCCTGGGCTAAAAAGACTGTTACATAGTGTCCAACATTTCTGATCCTCTATTTCATACATCATCTCTAACTGGACTATACTAGATGTCATTGTTCTCCTTGTAATTTGCCAGTTGGATACAATCCTATAGCATCCACGGTTCTGTGGCTGGGAAAAAGCCAAGAATATGCTCCAGTTCATGTTAAAAGGAGTAGTTTCCTCCATGCCAAAGAGGCAGCTGTTGGCATCCTGGCCTTGTTATACTGCGCCTTCAATCCTCTTATTTTTCCTGGCACTGTTTTTACTGAAATGACTAATACCATGTTCAACAGGGCATTTGGATATCCAGTCAGAATCAAGATGTTTCTTTGTCTCTTGGAATAGTGTGTATATATAGTGTGAGTATTTGTGTGTATACGTGTAAGAGGGAAAAACATCCGTATTAGGTGTTCCCAGGACTTAGAAAACCTAACTAAAGACCCAAGTGAAGCAAGTAAGGTTTTAGTTCAACAAGTGTACCAAATTTGAAAGTTTAATTAAAAATCAATGGGGAATTTTAAAAGCAAAGGGAAAATAAGTAGAGAATCGAGGAACTTTTAGCCTTAAACCAGTTGTAACAAGGGAACTAACAGGTTTTCTCTCGAGAGTAATCAAAACTTGCTTATCCTGTTACCAAACGATTGTTGTCTGTGTAAAGTACTTAAGGAAGTTGCTCCCACACCCCTTTTATTTTAGATGCAACATTAAGTTATTTCAAGAGAAGTCACACATGGGTCAATTCCTTCTACATCGATGAGTCCTAAGCATGCAGAGCCACAAGGAGAGTGGGTTACTATTAATAGTGATTTCACAACCCAAAATTGTTTCCATATATCTTAGCACACGTTTTTGTCTCTACAATTGGTTCATTATTTTGTCTTTCAGACTAGAAATGCCTATGTAATAATTTCTGAGACAGAGAAACAAATCCCAAAAAGCACTGATAAGCTGCAGTTAAGGTTGAATGCATATAGATAAACTCAAAGATAAAAACCTTAAGAACTCTGAATAATTCCAATATAAGTATTACAAACCCAGGAAAATTAAGTTTAAATTTAAATCCAAATACGTATTGAAAATCACAAGGCATCTAAACAACCATATCTGTAGTAATATTTTAAGTGGGGGAAAAGTACCTCTTCCTTTGTAGATTAGGTATAAACAATCTTGTTCTTGTAATACTAGAGTATGGTGTCTCTACCAGACAGAGTTAAGATTGTTTGGGTGCCTTTACTGTGTGTTTCCATATCTTAATGTATCTAAATTCCATTTAAATTAACCCTTAAGCTGAATTTGTAAAGTTTTTTTTTATTTTCTCTTAAAAATCATCTCCCCCATCCTCCCCAAAAAAACCCTAGAAACAACCAAAAAGGAAAAAACCAAACACACTGAAAATTCCATGCCAAACACTGATGAGAATGTTGTTTGCACAATTAAGCTCTTAAGTCCAGAAATGACGAAGTTATAGCTGCATGACTAAGTTTAACTTTATTCTGTGAACATGCTTTACAATAGAGTCCTTAATGCATTTCTCAAACATTTTGTTCTTGTGTGAGTGTTTATATTATTTTTTTTTACCTTAATGCCACCTTATACTAGGTATAAAGTTGTTGCTTTTATAAACCTGACACCAGAACACAACCGAGTCTATGCTTTTGCTATTGCCCTTATTATGATATGAGGCAATTGAATGATGATATGATAGTAATTGAATTGTATACTGTTGAAAACCTATCTTGTCTCTCTAGATTTCCTCACTGGAGAACTGGATTCATATTAGAATTCTGTTTCACAGTAGGAATGGTTAAAATGGTTTGTCATTGAGTTAGAAATAGTAGTTGCTAGTAGTTTGTTTTTGATTTAGTTATTTAGATAGCTTCAAATGTCTTTGAAACTGATTTTAGATCCTGGAGAAGATGCTTTTTTTTAAAAAGGCAATCTCCATTTTTTTTTATCTCCCTTAAGAGGGATAAGGGATCTTTTGGAAAAGGCTTTATTTTCTGAAAGATCCACATCTAGACTGGTGCTTTTTTCCGGCAAAGCTCCGTGCCGAAAAAAAGTGGCAGCCATTTTTATGCTAATGAAGCAAGGGAGATTTAAATCCCCGCTTCATTAGCAATTGCGGTACGTCTAATTTGCATCCCTTTTACGAAAAAGGGATGCAGTCTAGTCGTAGCCTGAATGAGAGGTAAAGTGGGAAGAGTGCATGAGTGCTCAGGGCAAGAACAGAATTATAATCAGTAAATTGTCAGAATATCATCCATTTAGATCTTATCCACTAACTGATGCATAATTGCCTCATTTCACTATAGCTATTAATTGGTTATTGTTGACTAGAAGAGATGAAATCTTGGACTTGTAAGTAGGATAAACTGTTTATGCGACCAGTGAATCTTATGCAATTAATTTGACTCTGCCAGTTTATTTAAAGGTATACCTCACAAGATATAGCAACATGTTCTTATACATCCAAAGAGAGTAAGGCTGTGTTCTTGTGCTTTCAATACCATGTTCAGCTTCTAGGAGGGGAGGCTGCTGCCTTAATTCCTACAATTACTGCACCCTATTGATTTAGTTCTACAACATAATTTTGCTGCTGCTTGTACTCCCTGGAGTCCTTTTTCATGTGGGTTTTTTTTTCTGAACTACATTTCCAACTCCATGACACAGGAATGGATTTTACAGAAGGGGTAATGAGGGAACTCACTTTAACTGTTTAATCTTACATAGGATAGAACAACAATTAAAACATAGGCTTTTTTAAGATTACAAGTTTTTTTATTTTTAAATTTAAATAACATCCATACAATATGAAGGTATAATAAAAACAAAAGTTCTCTCCTAAGAAACATAACATAGTTAAAGCATCTTATTTAAATAAACTATATTTTCACTTGCTCTACATCTAATAAATGACAAATCCACAAATGAGCCCTCAGCAACAAATGAAAATGAACAGTTTTACTACAAAGCTGTAAACATAGTTAACTAAAGTTTTCTATATAATGTTAATTAACATTTACATATTTATGTTAACAAGACAATATGAAATGTATACACAAAATACCAGTTAGTTTCTTAAATGATGAATGTCCTCTGTTTTGCTTTTTCTGTTGCTGTACCACTGTCATGTTGGGGGACTATACATCGTTACTATCAGTAAGGTTTTAGCAAATCTACTAATACAGATGTGAAATACTCTTTTAAGTGGTGAGAATGAGTGTCTCAGCAATAAACAATAGGAATTGATTATGACAATGGACCATAGTGAAATTTCATGGTACATAGGTAATACTTGGCTAACCATATTGTCAAACAGGAAATCATTGGTCTATTAATTGAAAATCCTTACTTAATTAACTAACAAGGGGCCACATTCTGTAACCTTTATTTATGTTGATTGGTATTTGCTCAGGCTAGCAAACCCATTCAAGCAAAGTTTCAATGAGTTTTGGGTTCAATGAGTAATGGGTTCTCAATGTGTTCAGAATTCCTTCAATTCTCTCACATTGGAAAATTGCATTTCACTGTTTTGATGGAGAATTCTTTAAGACCCAGTAGAAGTATCAGTATTCTACTACCTGGGAAATAAAATGGAATGGGATATAAATTAAAATTAATGTTTCAAATTATCTGAGAGAAGGAAAATATACATCCTAATCACAACAGGTATTCAAAATAGAGGAAACAGGAACCTCTGAGAGTTCCATTGGCATATTGTTCATGAAACACACACCTGTCATCTTCCAAGCGCATCTTTCCTTTTTTTTTTTGAGGCAAGGGTCAGTTGGATTAAAAGATCCAGCCCTTGAATAGGTTAATATAATTGCGTCAACAAATGGTGACCCACTTAAAAGCAATACATTAGCAGTAAAAAAGCTGGCTATATGGATTGTTCACAAAAGCCAAAAGATGGAAGATTACTGCATAAAAGATGACAAACAGGGAATATAAATAGGTATGTTAAAATAGATGCAAAGGAACATCTATCCTTTTAAAGATCTAATAGCTTAGAGTAAGAACATCATCCCTCCAACATCTATAAAATTAGAAAATAGATATAATAGTCCCTTTAATCAATTTCTCTTTCATTAGTAGGCCAATCTTATTTTAGAGAGCATGCCTCAATCAGGCTTTTCACAATTAAAATATTTTACTTTCTTGAACTATAAAACCAGTCTGAGAATTCTTAATACTACTCCCATTTGTCTGATCACCATACGAGGTTTCTAAATGACTAAGCTCAAAATACTTTACCTTTGGGAGATTTTTTTCTTTTGTGATAGCTTATGTAAGATGTAGCCCATGAATACTGCAAGCAGAATGATAATCAGAAAAGCTGTCAGTGTTGTCCAAGCATGTATGTTAGACTTTGGGAGGGCACCAGTGACACACACACTGACAATTGCAGACAGTTCACAGTAACTATATAATGGGTCCACAACAATAGCTTTAAATACATAAAAGCCATTATAGTGTGAAAAGATTATCTTGTTTTTATTTTGACCAAGAATTTGATATTTGGCTGAGGGTGATACTAGTTTAGGGCCGTCGTGATTCTTACAGCTTACATAGTTCATTCTGTTCCATGCAGTATGAGGATTTGGAGAATCTTGCTTTTGCATCATAGCCATCCAATTCTGAGGTTGAGATACACAATTGGCTTCTGCAGCGGTCAAGAGATAATCATAATTATACATGCCATTGACTTCAAACATAACAAAGTCAGCGGAAACATATTCCACAAATGCATTGTTTTCCCACAGTTCAAGGACTGGCAGCCACGGAGTATCATAATACTGCAGAAGGGGACACTCTAGTTTATAATAGTCATATGGAACTTTAAGATCACTTTGATCTAGCTGCGGTGTGGCAAGAAAATGGGGGTCATATATATCGTGGTCAATTGTATAAGTGAAGCTATTTTGCAGCGTGCCTTGTTCAAAGAGGCCTTTGCTGCATGCTGTTGTGTTTTTAAAAAATTTAATGTATTTAGTAGGCGGGCAACCTATGTTGACAAGTGCAGACAAAGGATGTATGTCAATGCAGCAGACGCCTTTGTTGAGGACATCCACGGTAAGAGTAGCCATCCCACCAGAGAGGAAGGAGCCACTGAAATGAGGGTCTGCCATGCCAGAGAAGTACTGCTGCAGCAGCTGGATGTACAAGCTGTACTTAGTGTGCCCGTCATATGTGTATCCATCCTCTGTGATCTTTGCCTGGAAACCTAGCACATGGGGGTTGCTCACAGTCACTATTGGAAAGGCACCAGTACCTGGCTTTGGCACAAATGTGACATTAAGGTTCAGCTTCTGGTGCATATCAATGTAATAGATCTTGTTGTGAAACTGGCCCCTGAGGATCTCCACTGGGCACTTTTGCAGGTATGGCCATAGCTCCGTGAGCATCGACTGCACTTTGAAGATGCATTTCCAAAAGGTATAAGCCTGAGTGCCATTGCTGGGCACAAGGCTCAATAGGGTTAGCATCCCTACTTTGTTAAACATCAGCACAGCATTGCATATGCCCTTTTGGCTGGTGTTTCTCTTTCCATTTTGCACCATAGATGTGGAGACCATATCTAGGCTTCCATAGAAAAGCTGATGGTCCCGGGTGAGGGCTGCAATCTCGGTTTTGCTAATGGCCACGTGGCAAAGGCCATTGCCAGGGAAAGGATGGGAGTTCCTGGAAAACTCCAATACAGTTACTGGCTCCACAAGCAAGCCGTTATTGGAGGAGACCAGCAGTGTGTCATTGTTCCAGAGGATGGTGAAGCCCCACAGGTGAGGATGCTGGATACGATGGATATCATGGCCCCGTGTGAACTTCAAGTGAAAGCCCATTGAGATGTGACTGGATGTCTGGCTCAGGTTGCCATTGGTGTATATGAAATAGGCCTCTCCTCCTTTCCTTTCTCCATCGCTGTGGCGGATGAGCACCCCAGTCTGGGAGAGGGAAACAAAATTGTAGACACCAAGCAGTACCCCTGGAAGTTCTGGACTCAGCTTCACAGGGGTGAACGAATAGCCCCCATTCTCTGACAGGAAGATGTGGCTTTTGGAGGGTGAATGCCCAATCTCATAGGCGAAAATCTTCATACTGATGTCTTTACAGGCTAGGTCCTGCCCTGGGTAACAGCAGTGGGTGTTTGATAGCTCAGTGACCAAGGAATCGATCCCCTGCGCTAGGATCCATTCTTCTTCCCCAGCCTTAAAGTAGTAGGAATAGACCCGTCCATTTATCACCATTGCTAACTTCGTCCTCTTCACAAAGGCAGCAGCACTGACTAAGGCGCTGGAGGGCTCTAGCTCATTAGGGATGGTCAGTGGTGGGATGCTGGTCCGAAACCCATTTGTGCTGAGGAAAATCTTCTCTCCCAGGTACAAGGCTGGACTGGGATGTCCCCAGGGGTCATCCTCATTACATGGGTACTGTAGAAGGAAAGGTTCAGGGTGGCTGAAATTCAGGACAGTGCCTGACCCCTTGTCCTGGGTACTGAAGGACAGACCTGAGTACAGTAACCTCTCCTCATTGCATGACCAGGAATCAATGCTTCCCCTTGCAAGCCACAGCCATAGCCAGAGTTTAGCTAGTGAGATTGGCCAGGAGCAGGGCATTAGTAGTGCTCTTATCAGAACCATCCTCTTCTACCAACTTAGTCAGGAGGTTGATGCCTCACGCTCCTTATCGACACCAGCTCAAAATGGCTCCTGGCTCGTCTCACTTCCTGCTGTAAAATGTTAGAAGGAAGTTCCGAGAGGCAGTTGGGGGCTGGGCTGGGCTATGGGTGGGAGCTGTTCTGAGTGTTTCCAGTATAGTCTCTGTCATGTGTAAAATGTCAGACACTCCCCAGTTTGTAACTGATACTGTACTGCTGACAATGGCCCTGATGGATAGATTTACCTCATACTTGATTTACCCCAATGGGCAATAGCCCTTACAGTCAGTTGTGCCTAATGCTAATTTTCTAAAGGATCTCTACTTGCCACTGGTGCTCCTGACCATACAATCCATTGCAGCTATGGACAATGGCTCCAATCAGTAGTTTGAGTCTCTCTCCTCCGCAAGGGACAACAACCTCTGACTACCTAGAGCAGGCGTGAGCCACTGGCTCTGGCCTGCGGGCACTGCGGGGAGCCCCAGGCAGGCTCCCTGCTTCTCATCCTGCTCTCATGCTGCTCTCACACACAGCTGTGGGGCAGTTTTTCTTTAAAATCTGAGAGTCCAGAGGGGAGTGGGAAGCTTTAGGAGCTGCTGTTACCCCAAGCACACTCCCATTGGTCAGTTTCTGGCCAGAAATAGGCCAATGGGAGCTGCTTGTTTCAGTAACAAGCAGCCATGAAGCACAGGGGCTCTAGAGCGCATGGCTGCAGCCTGTGTGAGAGTGGGACAGGCAGGGAGGCTGATTCAGGAACCACTGCTGGCAGGTAAGTCTCTTGGTAGAGCCTACCTCTGGCACTCCAGTCACTCCCTTCCCCAACCCTCTGCCTCCTACTCCACATACTCAATACCTGCTCCCCCATACCTATATTCCCCCCCGATCTAGCACCCCAACCCCCTGCCCAGATCAGTCCCCTACTGCCCTAGCTCACAACCCAAATCACTACACCCTCTCCTGTACCCCAGTTCCAACCCCTAATGCCCCAGGTCACAATTGCCTCCTTTACCCAAACTCCCTCCCTTACCCCAAACTCCCTTCTGCACCCATTCTACACCCCAGACCCTGCACCTCCTCCAGTAATAATATGGAAGAGTGATGTTCCAAATTCTTGGAGTCGTCCTCCCATAAAAACTTATTGCCCACCCCTGACCCAGAGGCTAGTAGCACTGCAGTTATCTCAAGAGTGCTTCTATAATTGCTTTGTCACTGTGCCTGATTTGGGTCATAGCTGAGAGTGCCAAGTTCAGAACAGACTATAGGAAACATGGCAGATACCCCCAAAATTGATGGTTTATTCCAGTGGTCCCCAACCTTTTGGGGCTGCTGGGCACCAGGGGGTGGGGCCACTCACACACCGGGCACCCGGGGGTGGAGCCGCGCCCACGCCCAGGGGCAGAGCCACCCATGCACTGCACTCTTGGGGCCGGTGCTGCTCCTGTGCTGCGAGCCCAGGGGCGGGACTGTCCATATGCCACGTGCCTGGGGCCGGAACAGCCCATGCACCACATGGCCGGGGGGCAGGTCCGCCCATGTGCTGTGCGCCCGGGGCAGCGCCGCCCCAGGGCCAGATGCCCAGGGGCGGGGATGCCCATATGCTGTGCACCTGGAGCCGGCACTGCCCACATGCCCGGGGGCGGGGGCGGCCCCAATCACTCAGCAGGTGCACAGAAATGGCCCAGGAGGCACCATGGTGCCCACGGGCACTGCGTTGGGGACCACTGACTTTATTCTATCATTAGAAGTCACCAAACCAGTAACAAAAGTGAATCCTCTATCACTTTTAGTAAAAAGGAGCCAAAACAATCCCCTATAGGCAAGCCACCCCATCTCACTACCCAAACACCTGGACTTTTGTTATATAAGTGTATTAAAACTATAACCACTACATATGAGATTTTTTTTCCAGTTCCAAAGAATCAGCTACACACCCTAGGCCAATCTATATAGATGGGTTGGAATCTGTATCATTGCTGATTGTCAAGAGCAGGTTAATCCTACACCTGTCAGGGATGGTCTAGATCAGTGTTTCTTAAACTCTGTTCTGTGGCACACTGGTGTGCTGCGAAGAAGTCAGGTGTGCTGCAGAGAACAACAGAATTTAACATGGTTGCCCTTAAAGGGGCAGGCAACCTTTTTTCCCCTCAATAACGTTCCCTGTGACCCTTTTTCCCCTCCAACCTTTTTTTGGCTCAACAAAAAATCATTGGTGTTCCTCATTAAAAAATTGTTTGGTGTTCCTTGGTCTTAAAAAGTTTAAGAAACACTGGTCTAGAATATTTAGTCCTACCACGAATATTTAGTCCTACCACGAGTGCAGAGAACCAGATTAGATGACCGGTTGAGGTTTCTTTCAGTGTTATGATTCTATAATTCAGCTCTTAGTACACTACAGTCACTCCTTCAGTAAAACTAAACTAGAGATTATTTAATGATAAAAAGAGCTATTAATTGGTTAAAGGAATCACACATTACAGTTGATTTCAGAGTCTGTAGGTCAGGGTTATAGCAGTGATGGTAATTCTGCTAGCTTGCAATAAGTTTGTGGATCATATAAAAGATTGGGGGTCATCAGCAATATGCTCTAATCTTTTCCATCTATGTGCAGAATAAATTTGTTTGTGCACAAAGCATATGTATGAAGCAAAAAACCTAGCTGTGGGCACTCTGCCAACCAGCTGCTCAGCATTTGAATTTCTTCTGAACAGCTGCACAAGCACCCAGCTTCCAGGGAAAACTGGTCATCAGTAGTTTGTTCACTGCTTCCCTTTCCTGACAACCATAGTTTAGAGATGTAGAGAAGGAACGATGACCAAAAATGATGTGCTAATTCCTTTTGTGAATTCATCCCTTAGTGCAGAACGATGGAAGCTTTTTTGAGTCAGGGGCTGCTGATCCACAGAAAAATCAGCCGGGGGCCATGCATAAGTGAGAAGCCTCTGACAGAAGGGAAAAGACACCCCCCACATGCCCTTTGAACACCAGAGCCTCCAGGCACCAGGCTCGTAGATTTTGTGTGCTTCAGCTCAACGGGTGGGTGAGTGGGGGGCTGGCGGGACAGCATGGACTCTCCAATGCTGAGTCTTAGAGGCCAGGTTCAGCCCGCAGGCCTGAGGGCTCCACTCCTGCCATCGAGTTTTAAAAATGGTATTTCTGCACTAATGAACAGACATGGCTGTTCTCTCAGTTGCTTGTTCCAGTTAAGCCAATTCATTGTTCTTGAATATTGCTGTCAGCTAGTGCCCACTCAGCTCCCAAAGTCTCTGTTCACCTGGCTTCACAGTATAGGAATATCATACTCTTTCTTCTGTTGATGGAAATGTATAAGGAAAAATGGGAAGTGGATAAAAGCATCTGTAGTTCTAGAGTGATGCACTGACCATCTGAGCAGTTTTCCCTTGAGGACAAATTCTTTAAAAACTAAGCCCTCAAAGAGGCTGCAAAGTCATCTTCCTTCCCCACTTTTATTTCTCTGAAGACAAGTGGGTGACATTGGCTTTAAGAAATTGAGACTTAAGAACAAAAACAAACCCTGATTTGGCTTAAATTTTGAAAATGATTAAGACTTTTTCGAGGAGAAAGCTCTCAGTGAATGGCATCTTCGAGTGCCCTCAATTATGCATCCCTGAATTACAAATTTTAATACAACATATACTAAATACTTTGAACTTAGCTTTGTCTTCCTGTGAAGCATGGTTTAGGAGTTCTCTCAGAGGGTATATCTACACTACAGAGTGTTGTTTTGGAAAAACAGAATTTTTTTCTGAAAAAATGTCAATTATGTCCACACTGCAACCTCGTTCTTCCAAAAGAAAATGGAAAGAACGGACGGGTTTTTCTAGCATTGGTAAACCTCTTACTACTACTGCAACCTCGTTCTTCCAAAAGAAAATGGAAAGAACGGACGGGTTTTTCTAGCATTGGTAAACCTCTTACTACTAGGAAGGAGCCTTTTTCCAAAAGAGCTCTTTCAGAAAAAGGTGTGTGTGGACAGGGAAGAGGGAGTTCTTTCAGAAGAAGAGGAAAAAGGAAAAAGCACAGGTGCCCTGGTGGCCACTCTGTCCATAGTAATCACAGCTTAAGTGCAAGATAGCATTCATTCAGTGTGGACGCTCTCTTTCGAAAAAGCAGATTGCTTTTTCAACGAGCTTTGGCTTTGTGGACGGTCTCTTTCAGGAGAAGTTTTTTCGGAAGATCTGTTCCAGAAAAGCTTCTTCCGAAAGAAGCCTGCAGTCTAGACGTAGTCAGAAATATTCATTTTTCCTCACAACAAAAGTCTTCTGAACTAAAACCCTCACAGATGCTGTTCGGTTATATTATTTTTGGCTCTATAAAGAGAAAGAAAAGTTTAATAGCTAAAGTTAAAAGTGGGAAAAAGAGCACTTTTCCCAATGTTCCAGTACTTGGCAGGTACCTGCCACTGCAGATTCTGTTTATAGAGAAGTGCACTGAAAGAATACTATTCCAGAAGATCATTCATACAGGTGTTTGGTCTCTGGTTCTGATGCAACAGTTTTTACTCTTAAAAATTTTCAGTGTCTCTGTGGTTTTGGAGATCTCTGTCGTCCACTGTGAATGGGTTACATTGGCTATCAGAAAACTAGTCACCCGGCTGTCATTTCCAAGGGCAAGACATGTAACCATCTGATTGAAACAGCCACACACTGTCCTGGTACACAAAATAGAGTGAAAACAGCCCTTACTCTCTGCAATGTGCTTTCTGGCAAGATTATTATTCACTATTATTTATTCATATCACTGTTGCTTTCTTATGGTTTTCATATGAGTTAGCTTATTTTTGTTTTAAAACATATATCTGCATTGTAGGAGCTCAGGAACAAATAAAAACATGAACCATGAACTTTCACTGTGTGATATTAATTAAACCCTGAAATTACAGGTTTTATGGGCTTTCTGGTGAAAGTTGGGATATGATTTTGCTTCACTGAAATTATTCTTTGCATTTTCATTCTTTTCAGTCTCTCTCTCTCTCTCTCTCTCTGAGAATATTAAAGGGAGTACAAAACAAGTTTGAGACTTGCCAAACACAAAGACTTCAGTGGGCCTGGGTTTTACCTAAAACTCTGACTTACTGTTGCTACCTCAGATTATTTCTGAATATTTTAAAAACCAGAAATGTCTGCCATAAAAATCATTTTGGAAATTTAATAAAAACTTCAATCATTTCTCATATGTACATTGCCACATTCATTGGAATGCTAGCTACAGTTAAACCTATACTATGCATTAATTTCCATTGGAAATCTCAATATATATTCTATTCCAGCTTCTCACTACTTCTGGTATCAAATTATTCTTGTGGACAGCAGTATTTCAGGGAGATATAAACGAGGATACAAGAGCAGGGAAAAAAATCCCAGTATTGTTTTCTAAATTTTTTTTCACCATGAAGTTGTGATGAGAGACCTATCAGAAATTATACCAAAATTGATTTCTTGGTGAAACACATTTAATTGTAATGCGTTTATACAACTTTACAA